TGTGGATGCCATGACAATGGACACTCTAACAATCCTATCATTGAATTAAACATGTGTTTGGAAAGTGTAAAGCATGTTCTAAACATGATTCAAACATGCTTTCTCCATTTTTTAAATGTTTGGAACACTATTTCGACATCTGGAAATTATTTGGCAGCATGCCTCCTCTCCGTTAGTCGACTTCCACATCCCCTGAGCGACAGCACGGGGACTGGCTGGAGTCGTGGCCCCGTGGCCACACCGAGCGGCTCCAGTGGCGGTCGGCGGACCCTCGGCGGGAGGGTCACGAAATCAACCACGTCGGAGGGGCTGGCTGCAGCGTGGGCCTCGTGGCCCCCTGGGCGGGCGCCAGCGGCTGTCGGCTGCAGCCGCCGGAGACCCGTCGGTAGGGCCGTGAGTCGGCGGACTCTCATGGGGAGGGCCTCTATAGGAACTACAACGTGGCGGCTGGATGCAATTTTGGCCTCGCGGCCCTGTGCAGTTCCGGCTGCGGTCGCCGGAGACCCGTCGCCGTGATCCTCTGTCGCACGGGAGCTGGCTGCAAATTCGGCCTGCTTTGCCTGCTTTGGCGGCGGAGGGTGCAGCGTCGGCCTGGAGTGCGTCACGAAGATCACGTAGGACGCCACGTAGGCCACCACGTTGATCCTGAAGGTCTCCATGGAAAACGCCACGAAGGAGATGCGGCTCACCCTGGCTGGCCAGGGGGGAGGCGTAAAAGTTTGGCACAACGAGCTCGGAGAGCGTCGCAAACGTCGCGAAGGTCGACTCGGAGTGCCTGAAGCTCATGCACTGGGAGACCGTGAAGGTCGTCCCGTAGATGTTCAGGACCTTGGAGTGGGTCACGGACTGGTGCGCGTAGCCGGCGTAGTGTGTGGTCGCCGAACTGGTTCGTGAGAACGACAGGTGGCTGCTGTCGATGCGGAACACGAGGTTGAACAGGACGCGATTCGGCAGCTGCGCCGACGGCCCTTCGGAGCCCGTTGCGCCTGGCAGCCGAGGTGGTAAGCCATGTAGGGGGCACAGTCCGCGGCGACTGCGCCGGAGCGGCGGCGCAGGATGTGGCGCGGCGCAAGATGTCACCCGCGGAGTGCGCTGGGTTCCAGCCTGGCCAGCGAGGTTTTGAAATGACCCCTCGTGGGCGTGCACCTGCGTCCGAGCGCGCTCAAATGCTTGATCCAGAATGGCTTGAGCCAAGGCTACGGAGAGAGAAAGAGAGAGAACGAGAGGTAGAAGAAGAGAGAAAGAGATGGATCATAGGATAATCACACACAGACTGAGTGAGAACGAGAGGGGGAAGCGAGAGAGAAAGAGAGAGATAATGATATATAGAGAGGACGATAAGGAGAGAGAGAGAGAGAGAGAGACAAACAGAGATGGCGGGACGAAGTTAAAACGTTAGAGGGAGAGAGCGGAAGGGATCGGAGGGAAAGAAAGAGAGAGAGAGAGAGAGCGATAGGGAGAGGGATGGAGAGAGAGTGTGGGAGATGGAGTGAGACTCTGTAACGCCCCATCCTTTCCTCTCCGCCGCCTTCCCCTGGTTCTCCTGCTCCGCCCGCTCCTTCGACTTCAGTTCCTGCTGCTGCTGCGCGTCTTCGTCCTCCTCCTCGTTCCGCATCCTCCTCAATTTCCTATTGATCATATTCCTGCTCGTCCGCCACCTCCTCCTCGTATGTGCGCGGCATTTTTTGTTTTCAAAAAAATAAAGCGCCTATACAGCATACCTATATATACAATTATATATACATTTATATACATACATACATACATACACGATTGCGCAGAACACGGTGCAACCATTTTGGAGTTCCAGGCCCGCTGTGTCTGACACGCGTCCGCAGATAGACAGCAAACCTACGCAGTTGGAGTGCATGGGTGGAATGGGGCAGGATATCAGATATGGCGCGAGCGCACCCAGCTTCCCCCTCTCCCCTCCTGGACCCTGCCTCTTCCCCTACTCTGCCTGCTCCTCCTCGCCGCAACACCGTCCGTGCTGTGGAACCGACAAACAACATGGCCAAGCACCGCTTCAGAACCGATCCGTCGAGCCTGCTAACCGTCGATCGCCCCGCTCTGATCTGCATCGACGATCCGTTTGGCTGCTGCCGCGACGCTACATCAGCATCATGCGCTGGGTCATTCGAACGTGCGGAGCTTGGCGGTGCGCACTACGGGGGTGGAGGGAGGGGGGACGGCTTCTTGGAAGGAGGCTGCTTTTTAGAAGGCGCCGGCCTTACATCTATAGATAGGGCCCGCGCCTTCCAAGAAGCAGGGGTGGTTCTAAGAAACCCTCTGCGCGTGGCTGAGGAGCAGGGACATCGGCCACGAGCTCTGTCGATTGTGCAGCGGGAAACCTCGCCCGTCCCCGAAGCAGGCCCGGCGCAGGCCCCACCTCCTCCTCCTCCTCCTCCTCCTCCTCCTCCTCCTCCTCCTCCTACCCACGCATCGCAAATGTTGGCGGCGCGCGCTGGGGGGGCGGCACGTTCGTCTCCCTCTTATGCTGCTGCTGAGGGTGCTTCCCTTGGATAAATAAGACCATGCTGTGCGGCCAACTCCCGGCTCCTCTTTGCCGTTGCAAGGTCCCCCCCGACTTCACGACACGCCCTCCAGTGCTGTAGAAGTGGCAGTCGAGACAATTGCACAGGAATGAGCCGTCAGTGCAGTCTACTACACCGCAAAGGCGCTTCATTTCCGCAATCAAGTGAGTGTTCAGTCGAGGGGGCTTTGTACATCGGCCTGGAGGCGGGCGTCCCCCACCTGTGGTGTTCCTTCGTAGACAGACAGAGCATTGCCAGAACGACCCTACCCAAGCCTAGTCATGCTGCTCAGACGTATCTTGGGTTTGAGCGAGGGCTTCGTATGTTCAACGCCTGAATAATCACCCTTGGGCCAAAGCGGCAGGATCTTTGACGCCAGCTTGATCACAGCCTTGCTTGTTCTAATCAAGAAATCAACTCTGTCTTGCAAGTCAGGGTCAGGGCGGGGGTGGATTGAGGCCCCCATGTTTGCGGGAATCTCCGCAAAGCGATTGCCAAGACGCCTGAATTTTTCATGATCCGAGATTCCTTCCTCGTCAAACCCATTGTGAGCCGCGACCTTTACAACTTCGTGGATCTTGCCAGATGCCCCGAAAAAACACTCGACGACATAGCCCGAGTAGACCCTCTTACGGGATGCGGAGGAGGAGGAGGAGAAGGAGGAGGAGCAGCAGCAGTGTGTGCGAGGCAGAGTAGGGAGGCCGAGGGAGCGGGCGGGGCGTCGGGCAGGATGCGCTCCAGCGAGGGGGCGCGCCGGCGGCCTGAAGATGCAGATGCCATCCTCGCCCCTCCCTGTGGTGGGAGCGCTCCCGCAAGGTGGGCCAGTGAATGTTCGATGGCGAGCGGGGGGGGAAGTGAGAGGGCGAAGGCCCTCTCAAAAGGCGGCGGGGCTTCTCAGAAGCTTTCGGGCCTCTCGAGACGTCTTCTGTGTTTTCGGGGAAGGCACCGCAAACTTCTCAGAGGGTCGGGGGGCTTCTGAGCCTTCTGAGAAGGCCCGCCCCCTCTCGTTTCCCCCCCAGGCTCGAAAGGTGGACGGGTGGCCACTGCTCAATTTGTCACCATATCAAATCAACGCGCGTATTCATATATGTATATAAACCTGCATATGCACATGCATCTATGTTTATATGTGCATGTCTATGTTTAGGTTTGTGTATATGTAAACGTGTATGAAACTTTGAAATTGTATGTAATTGTGTACGGACATCATATGAAACTGTGCATGTATATGACCATGCGTATGTTAATGAATCGGCGTGCGTATATATATATATATGTGAATCGGCGTGTATCGATCCATACATGTATACCTACATATATATATATGTAAGTATATATACTTATTTGTATACGCATACAAACATATATAAATATATACACATATACATATACATGTATATATATATATATATATATACATGCACAAGACTGCAGTGGCGCTTCGCGCCATGCACCTAGGTCCTTGACGTTTGGTATGCAAGCGGAATAACAAGAAGGTCAAGCCGACAATTTAACGATAACTCCTTGTTGCCTTTTTTTTTCCGGCATCGCCGCTATGATAATGTTATTCGTTATCCTTCCTCCATGCTTATGTTTCCTCATTGGCGCCATACCCTGCGCATTCTCCCCATTCTCCTCAGCTCCTTTTTACGGAGGCTCCTTCAAAGAGAGCCTCTGGGGGCCTCACAAAAGTTGTTTCAGCCTTTTTGAAGTCCTTCTGAAGGCCTCCTGGGCGTATTCTGGGGGCCTGTGGGGGCTTCCTCGGGCCACCCTGCCTCCAACCGCGGTCTCCCTGAACGACCGGGTCACGATTCGGAATGCTTCGGAGGGTGTCTTGGGGCCACCTTGGGCCGCCACGGGGCTCTCTGAAGGCCATCATGGACCCGTGTTGTGCCGTGTTGGGGCTCTCTCGGGCTGCCTGGAAGCCTCTCGGACCTTTGTGGGGCGATTTTGGAGCCTCCCAGGCGGTTTCGGACGCCCAGAAGACCACCGTCATGGAGCGATGGGAAGCCGAAAAGGGGAGAACCCCCAAATTCACCAAAAACCAACACAAAATCACTGATTTGTGCCTTTGGGGGCCTTTTTGGGAGTGCTTTTGGAGGCCTCTTTGGGGCCGTCCTAGAAGCCTCTTGGGCCATTTTGAAGTCACGTCGGTCACTCTTGGAGCGCTCTTGTGCTGTCTTGGGGTCTCTGGGATGTCTCCGATGACCCCCCTGATCGCCCTAGGTGTGCTGGAAAGGCTTGGCAAAACGTCCTGTAATCGCTCAGACGGGCGGTGGTGATGGGGATAGTGATCGCTTTGAGCTGGAACGGGGCAAGAGGGATGGGGCGCGGAACATCCTGGGTGTCGGTGCGCATCTAAGCCAACGGGCTGCGGAGGCAGAGGGCAAGAGGGGAAGGACGGAGAGGGCACGGAGAGGAAACGGGGGACAGCGACCCAAACTTTAGCGTCCTGAAGCCTCTTGACTACCCCCGGAAGGTCACCGCGACCCCTCCGGCCTGATCGAACTGCAGGAAGACGGGTTCCCCCGCGATGCCCCCTTCCTCTTTCTTTTTCTCCTCTTTCTCCTCATCCTCGGGCGGGTCGGAATGCTGGCTCCTCTGCTTCGGCGCCGCCGCTCTTCCTCCGCTTCTCCTAGTGCTCTCACCTCCTCCTCTCTTCCTCGCAACCTCATCACCTCCACCACCTGAGTCCTCCTCCTCCTCCTCCTCCTTAGTCTCCAGTCCAGGGGAGGAGCCCCACTCACTCCCCTCATCTCGACGCTGGGCCTCTACGGTAAGGGCCCTCCTCGAGGCACCTCGCGAGCGAGACTTGAGGGCGGTGTTCAATGAACGCTCATTGATATGCCCGGACTCGTCCACGAGGCACAAAGTGCCACGACACAGGAGGTCGTGGAAAGCAAGGTTCCCCTTTGCGGGGTCAGCGTGGGTGAGGGGGTCAGCCGGCATCCGTCCGTGCGGAAGCCATCTGATGGGCGACCCAACCGCGGACAGACTGTCGCGAACAACCGCCAGCTCCACGGAGTTCCGCCGGTCCGCCCTGGATCCCGCCGTGTTCCGAGACAAAGTGTCGAACACACTCTTGGCGTCAACTACTGAAAGGGCACTGGCCTTCTCTCCCAGAGAGCATTCCTGAGACATTACCACGGCAAACGGTGAGGCCACGGCGTGCCAGTCAGGGCGCGGCACGTCGCCATAGACGGCGTCGCGCCACAGCACCTGGAGCCATTGGGCCTCCGAAACAGCACTGCTGAGAGACAAGGTCTCGGCCGCCACGGTCGAGGCAACTACTCGCTTCAAACGCTGGGAGTGCCAGGAAAGTAGGCTAACCTTGGCTCGAACGTTCTTCCGGATCCCGGCATCGGCGACGAGGACAAGCCACGCTCCCTGAGCTCCTCCTCGCCTGGCGCCCCCGGGCCCCCCCGCGTCGGACGCAGTCGCAAACGCGAGTGAGTGGGGATCCAACGCCCAAATCGTCAGCCGCTGCGCCGCCGTAGCCTTGAGGTAACGACAGATCTTGATCAGCATAAGCCCGTCGGCCACGGTAGGATTAGGCATGGCCGAAGCGAGCATAGATGCCCCTCCGGCGACGTCGGGGCGCGATTCTCTCGCGACCCACTGGACTTGCGCAGTCGCCGCTCTATAGGAACTCACTTCAGAGGGGGAGAGGGGTTCTTCGGGGGACTCTCGCCTCGACTTGTCGAGGTGCAAACACGATAGTTGTTCACGGATGTACTTTTCTTGGTCGACCGAAATCCGGTCCGCGTGCTGGCGGAAGTGTCGCCCCCCGTAGTCCGCCCCAGTTTCCTTCCACTTCCCAAAATGGAACCTCGACATGAGGCGCTCCCGGAAGTTCGGAATGGAGCTCTTGCGCCCGGCCGCAATCAGGCCGTCGACCTCGATAAGCACTAGCCCCTCGAGGGCCCCAAACTTATCGCGCTTCAAATGCAGGCAGGGCTCAAGGAGTGACTTGACTTGACCAGGCCGACAGACTGGAGGTAATCGGTAAGCGTGCGGCGCCGAAGAAGCGGCGCGTCATTCAACCCATAAACAGGGGCCACCAGCTCGACCAGTTGATCGGATCCGAGGGGGGGGCCCTGGCAGGGCTCAACGTAGATCACTCCGTTGGGACGCCTTAGCTTCTCGCTCAGACAGAAGGCATTCTTAGCGTCGGCAATGTTGAGAGTCCAACCAAACGAGGCGACGATTTGCAGCACGGTGAATCCGCTTTCTGTCTGGGGCGTCGGGGCATAGACGCGGAGCGTCTCTCCGTCAGGATCTTGGTGCCCGTGCACGCACCAACGGGACTTGGGCACTGGTTTCTCCCCCGCACCCTCCACCGGCTTCCGCCTCCTGACCATGCGGGGCGAGAGAATGCGGTCGGGGTGGCGACGCTTTACAGCCCTGGCTTCCGCGGGAGAGAGAACTCGGACTGGATGAGAGCATGGCTTCCCATTCTTTGAAATCGGAGGCCTCGAAAACTCTGCGCTCCTCCTGAGACAGATCTTTCCAGCGGACCTCGGCTCCTCTCGGATTCGACCGCGCGGGGGCCGGAGCCAGGAACGAGGCCCCGGCAAGGTCGTCAACGTCGAACAAAAATGATTCTGGGGAGCAGCCTCCAGCCGCTTCATCCCAGCCTCGAATCTCGTCCAGAAGAGCTCGATCCTGTTCGTCGTCGCTCCCGCTCCGGAGATCAAACTCGGAATCCTCGGAACCGATTGAGGCCTCGGGCTCGGGGCCGGCGGGCTCCGCCAGGAATCCCTCGGACCCGGGGCCGCGATCTCCGGAGCGACTTCGGACCCTGGCTCCCGAGTCGCCCTCGCGACCCGTGGGGGCAGGGGCGCCAGGCCTGGCTCTGGGCACAGAAATGCTTCTCCCGGAGCCGATCCGAGGCGATCGAGGCACCTCGGCAGCGGGAGGCGCACTCGGCGAGACGGGGGCCGCCTCTGGGCTGGGCGCGCCCGGCAGGGCCACGGGTCCGTCCCGGCCGGCGGCCTCGAATTGTCGGACACCCCGAGCCGCGGTCGATTCGGGGGAGTTGGCCTCTTCGATCGGGGCGAGGCGTGGTCTCTGATCTGGAGGTTCACCAGGAGGCCCCTCAGGGTCCGAGGGCCGCGCGGCTGCCCGGCGAGGCGCCTCGATGTCGGACAGCGGGGCCGCGCTCGAACTTGGGGGGACCAGACGAGACATCGAGGGCTCCGAGGGGGCCACCGTCGGAGCGGATCCGGAAGCGGGCGCCGCGCGCCCTCCCGGGCCCTGAGGCTGCCTTAAAAGGGAGGGGGGGGGCGTCCAGGGCCTGACGCAGGGCCGCTGGCAATTCGCTCGCCGGCTCCGGAGCCGAGGGGGCGGCTCCACTTGAAATTGATCGGGCCGCTGGGTCGGGCGGCGGCTCCGCCGCGGTCTCAGGGGGGCCAGAAACCTCTGGGGGAGGCGGGCCCTCAGCGGCCGCATCGATGGCGCCAGATCGTTTCGCAGGATTCCGAATCTCGTCTCCCAATCGATCGAAGGTAAAGCTTTCCAATAATTGCGCACCTAGGGTCTCGGACCTCGTGGCCGGGCGAACTTGTTCAGCCGAGCACTTCAGGGGCCGCGTCCGCATCGCGACCCACGCGGTCCCCCCCGGACCCCCGGACTGGAAAACCACTACTCCCGGTCCTGTCCACCTGTCTCTCTAAAGGGAATGTGACCTGTTAGAAGAAGTAAGGCGCCTGTAGACGTAGACCTGGAGAGAACTGCCGGCCCGCGCGCTGGCGGGCCGAGGCGGCCTCAGCAAGCCGAGATCGCGCATCTAAAGCAGCCAGCGCTCGGCGAGCCGCCTCTCGGATTCGATGCTGATGGGCAAAGGCGGCGGCCGCAGCATCGTTGTCAGCCGATCCTGGTTGCACATCTTCCGGCCCGACGAGATCGAGGCCGTCGCCCGACAGGATGCTCCGCGGGAAACGCGGGTTCTCGCCAAACGCCAGCTGGGAGGGGCTGAATCCGCTCCGGTGAAAGTTTCGGCTCTTGGCCGCCACGACTTCACACGAGAGAAGGTCCGTCTCAGCGCGGGAGGTAGGGCTGCAGCCGAGGGCGGCCTTGGATATGGCTTCTTTCACCACCCCCCCGTGCCTCTCGCACTTTCCATTGTGGTGGGGGGTGTTGGCAGGGGCCACATGGGCAAAGATGCCCAGATGCTCACATCCCCTCGCGAAGACTGACTCGAACTCGGAGCCCCCATCACTCACCACCATCTCGGGAATCCCGAAGGGACGGACCCACCATCTCATGAAAGCCCCCCACGCCGTCTTCGAAGTGTCATCATCGAGCAGCGCGCACTGTTGAAAGCTCGTGCCATGGTCGATGACATTCAGCACTGGCGTGCTTTGACCACCTATCTCAAGATAAAAGAGATCGACGGCCACCATCTTGTTAAAGTGGTAGGTATGGGGCAGATGTGCCTTGCGACGCCACCCCACCCTGGCGTGCGTCTCGCGCTGATCGCAGCGGAACTCTTCCTTAACAAACCTCAGCACGTCCAGTCGAGCCCCGGCTATCCTCAACGCTCGCAGAAAATCTTCACGCCGAGGGTGCCCAAGGTTCACATGCAGCCTGGTGACCTCGTGCTGCATGTCGGGGGAGAGGGGAGGAATCGACTGACGCTGCTGGCTGTCGGGCATAGGGGGCCGACGGGTCTCGGGCTCGTCCCCGCTGTCTTCCGCGGCCTCCGCCCGGCCCTCCGCCTCGTCCGCCGGGAAGTTCCCCAGCCCGTCGGAAAAGCCCCCTTGGTGAGTCGGGCACACCTGCCCCCGGTGATGTCTCCGCGCCGTCAGCTCGACGCCGCAGCTCATCGCGGCAACAAGCGCGTCAGGGTACGCCTCGGCCGGACTCGTCCTGGAGGCGCCAATCAAGGGAGTGTGCTCGTGATCTCGCGAGCGCTGGCGGTCGCAGGCAGTAAGGGCATCGGCAGAATTGCTCATCAGAACGGTGCGCTTCTTAGAAGGCTTAGAGGGATCTCCAACCACGTCAAGACCGAATTCACACTGGTCGAAACTTAGCTTCAGAACCCCCGGCAGGGAGGCCACAACACGGAGGGGCTCGAGGTCCCACAAGCTCGCCCCTGAAGGCTGTTCCAGAACGAAATATCGACCGCGGCTCACCTCCTGATGCTCGGCAACCCGGGCACACAAGTACATGTATCGAATTCCACGGTCTTCAACCGCCCTCTGCTTGTCTGGGTCCATCCTGCCCCAGTTTGGGACGCGGGCCTGTGAGAAGGCCTTGCACTCTGGGGACATCGAGACAAAGAGAGGGGACTCGGCCTCTAGGACCGCCCACAGCTTAGCTTCACCCTCGCAGGTGCCCAGGTCCACCCGAAGAAGCACATCCAGGGCTTCCGCCGCGCGGAATCTCCTGCGCCTTAGCTCCGCCGTTACCCGGGGCCGAGAGAAGATCTCTAGGGCCAGGGCTCCTCCTCTTTCCTTCTCCAGCTGCTCTAGTTCCTTGCGACGTCGGCCCCGCAGGGCCTTGAGGCCGAGACCATCAAAGGTCCGGGCAGCGGCGTCGCGAACTCGATGAGGCAGGGTGGCTCGGGGCCGAGTCACCTCTAGGCGCCCGTCTAAGGCGGCAGCCGCAAAGCGGTCCATCTCGACGAGGCCGAACCTGCTTTCCTCCTTCCGCCTGCGCTCGGGCTCCTCCTCCTGTTGCTTTCGTCCTGGTTGATATCCTTCCTTTCCTCCTCCTCCGGACGCTTTTCACGCCAGAACGTGGCGCCAAGTTTGCTGGCGTTGCTCGTGCCAAGACCGGCGACAGTGTCCCGCGCTCCAATGGCTCCCCAGATTCCAGATGCCCTGATTACTCGGGCTCCGTCCTCAATCTCGACCCAGCGGGCTCCCTCGGCAATCAGGGGAGCTGGGGCCCTTCCCCCACAGGCGTGCAGGGCAAACGCGGCGAAGAGCTTTCGAGTCTCGGGCGCCTCAAGATGAACGGGCTGCCACTCAAGCTATTGGGCAACCTCTCGCCCAGAAACCCACGTGCCGCCTGTCTTGTCCCAGATCCCCAGGACCCTCCTCGAATCCTTTCTAAAACCCCTGGCACCTCGGTACCTGTTGAAAAAGACATCGAGATCCCGAATGAAAGCGCCCCCCAGGTGGGCTTTGGACATGTCGAAGCCAGGCGGGCCTTCACGGGGCAGCGCCTCCGAACACGCGTCCGTCAGGCGCCGAAATGATCCGACAGGCCCTGGCTGCCCGATGCCTCCGAGAGCTCCGGCGCCGGCGCGGCGCTCTGCTTGATCCCGTGCGTCGCCGCGTGGGTGGGGCGGGTCATGTCGGCGTGGGACATCAGCGGGCGGTTCGTCAGGTAGGAGACAGACTCGCTCTGCTGCTGCACGATCTTCTTCATCTTGCCGAGGCCGTCGTCCTCCATGGCCTTCGTATGGTTGATGACCTCGTTGAGCTGGCAGTCCTGCTGCTCCTCCGGGTCGATCTGCTGAAGGCCCCGCTCGTTGCCCTTGCGCTGGCGCTTGGTCGTCTGGTGGTGCCCTGGGATGCTGAGCTCGGGCGGCGGCGCCAGGGGGGGCCGCGGGGCGAATCCGGGATCTCGGCCCTGGAGGTTGTGATCCTTGATCACCTGCTCGAGCTCAGCCTGCTTCCAGGCTCTCGCGGCCATGTTGATCCCGATCTTCTTGACATTCAACACCTTCCTCCGCTGCGCGCGCGTCGGCCTTCTCCGTGTCCGTCTTCTGGCGATACTCCAGGCGGCCCTTGCACTGCCGGCAGTCCGTCCAGTAGCAGTTCTGGTTGCCACTCGAATACCTGGCCCATGACGGGTGCTCGCAGCCCTCCTGGGTCATCACCTCCTGGGTATCCGGGCACCGCGACACCGCGTCGACCGTGCCGAAGTACGTCTGACTCTTGTCGTGCGGGCCGCTGCCCGCGAGCTTCTTCTTCTTCGATGGCATCTCTGGCTGCGAGGCCGCCGTCGCTGGGTCGGACCTCAACGATGGCTGGAGCCGAGAGGGGCTCAGGACGAAAGGCGGGTTGCTGCCCCCCAGAATCGACCCCGACGAGAGGAGAGCGGGGGAAAACAGAAGCAGGGGAACCTACACCGCTGCAGCTACTACGATCCTGTGCCCTCACGCTGGTCCCCAGAGTCGAACCTGCATGGAGGCGGGTCCGGGGGTCCTGGTCGATCGCGAAGTCGCCGACCTGGAACCGTGGCAGGAGAGCGGAGTGCAACGCGAACTTGTCGGGGGACCTGTGCGCCAGCGCAACGGAGCGGTGGCCCGCGGGGTGCACCATCAGCCGGCGCTGCACACGGCGGCCGTCCTCGTCCACCGTCATCGTGTCATTCTTCAGGTCGATCGAGGCCCCGATCATCGTCGACAGTCGGGCTGGAAGCAGCGGCGGACAGGCGTGCGGAAGCACTAGAAACTCCACAATGCCACATCCCGCGATCGTGATCGGGACCCACGCCTTGGCGACGGGAGTCGTCCGGCCACCTATGCCGGACGCCGTGACCTCCTTGACGGGAGTCCAGTCGACGTTGATCCTGTAGCCCGAGTCCCTCATCTCTTCCACGAGCACTTCCAGGTCGGGCTTGCCGATGAGCGCCTGAGCCGCGGCCGTGTCCACCAAGGCGTGGGCTCCAGCGCTCTTCAGGCTGAGGAAGGTGGGCAGGTCTTCCGAGTCCAAGTTCGGTCGCAGGAGTCGGGTCCATGTCAGAACCAGCTGCGCTCGTCGCTCTCGCCGGAGGTCGTCAGTCGCGAAAGTGCTGGCGGGGTC